AAATTCATTTGAAGGACTTACTTGTCATTGCCAAACTCAAACTTGCCGGGGCCATTCCTCAGCAGATTTCCATTAATCCACTTGGGGATATGCCCTTTGATCTTGGCTGGGATGGGCTCAGGGGTCTCCTCCACGCTCTGCACTAAGGGGGAGATGCATTGCAGCCCCCGGGGTCTGTGGCACAGGATTTGCTCCTTGGGTGGGCTGGGCAGGTAATTCCTGAAACCTGCAACGAGAGCAGGGAGAACACAAAGCAGGGAATTGAGATTTCCACTGGGGTAAAGTGACAAATGCCAGATCTTGAGATTGCATGTCAGGGAGAAGAGCATTCAGCATCTGCAAGCAGCCAAGTTGTAGTGGATACTCAAGGTAATGCCACAGGGAGCTGAAAACTCTGTGGATTCTACTCTGCTCTAGTTAATCCACAAGAGACCCTAGCTCTGCAGCCCGGAGGAGGTAACAGAATACAGGATGATAGAAAATATGATGGCTTTTCTTTCAATCAAAGAAATGCATATTTGGATTTAATTCTAAAAAAAATAGAAGAACACCAATGAAACTGAGCCATTTACAGGACAAAAGAGACACACGGGTTTTATTTGGCAGGGAAGTAAGCAGAGAAGGGTCATTTCTGATGGAGCCAACCCCTCTGGAGAACAAAAGCGCCAGGAGAGCATGAAGTGATCGGAATGCTGTGAGCTGCCAGCGATGTCAGTGATTGGCTCCCACAGCCTGGTTTGCAAAGCCTCATCAACACAAGGATTGCTCCAGCAATCCATTTAGCTGCAGAGGTGGATTTAGCCGGGGGTGCCTCCCTGCCCAGGCTTGCACCTGCCCATCCTGTCCTCCGTGCAGATGAGAGTAAAAGGGGTTTAAAGTCAGGGTTCAAAGGAAAATTAAGCTTAGTAGGCCCTAAAAAAAAAAAAATACCCTGGGAATATGTAGGCCTTGTACCTTGCTAGAACTGCACCTGTGTAGCTAGTACATGATAAATTGTATAATTTTTAGATATTATTATTGTGTAATTAAATATAATTACTGTTTGATCGTAAGAATAATCATGAGAAACTGTGGTCAGAAGCTTAAGAAAGATCACGAGAAACTCATGCTTGAATAAAGTCAATGTATACAATAGAACAATATAAGTTTAATAATTAATGTGTAAGTTATACAATGATAGAATATAAAATACATTCAGCTCGAAAGCCGTGTCGGAGTCAGATTTGGGTCTGTACCCCTGATTCCAGAGCTCTCAATAAAACCACCTGCAGATTATCATATCTGTGATTATGTGTGTTCCTGAGACCACAGACCCAGGCTGAGCTGCTGAGCACTGAGCTGGGAGTGAAATACTGACCCAAAAGAGCATTTGGCAGGCAGAGCTCCATCAGCCAGAGGTGCTGCAGACACCACACACTGCACGGAATCCAGGCTGGTCTGAATTCTCTCTGATTCTCTGTCCTTTTGCCACTGCTGCTCCTGGCCTACATCCTTCAATCCAGGTGACCAAGTGTAGCTGTTGCCCAATTTCCCTCCCCTGAAACCCTTTACTTAACACCTCCAGAGGAAATCTGCTGTTTCAGCCAGAATAGCTCCAAAAGACCTGAGCTGGCAGGCAAAATTCTGCTGAGCTAGTTTCTCTACACAAAAACACCCATAGGTTGGATGTTGGGATTGCAGGAAGGTAAAATGCAAGATTCCAGTGTAGCTCTCCAATCTGCCAATTCCAAAATTCTCATTTAGATCTCTGAAGTGTTTGCAGAAATGCAGATTTCGTTGGCAGAAATGCAGATTTCGTTTGCAGAAATGCAGATTTCGTTTGCAGAGGTGCAAAATATGCATTGAAGAATGAGAGGAACACATCCATAAGGAGATATTTTGAAGATTTCATTTGCAAGGGTGCAAAATATGCATTGAAGAATGAGAGGAACACATCCATAAGGAGATATTTTGAAGATTTCATTTGCAGGGGTGCAAAATACCCATTAAAGAATGAGAGGAATACAACCGTAAGGAGATATTTTGCATCCAAGCAGAAACAAAGCTTGACTCAGGACATGACTCAGGACATGAAAATTCCCAGAGAGCACTGTAAATGGAAATTTTGGAAAGATACATTCCACAAAAGATCCTCAGGGCTGGAGAAGACCTCCTGAGTCCACCCCTCCCAACTGTTGCCCCAGAAATTCTTATATAAGAACTTTGTGTTAAAAATTATGATGTCTACAGGCACTTATTCCCTCTTTGGATAACTGCTCCTTGTCCAGATGATCAGGAAAATACTTTGAATTTACCAAAGGACAAAATTCTTGTTTTTCTTGAAGCTCTGGTTTGTGGTTTTGGTAGTTTTCCCTTCCTTGCGCTGTATTTAGGGTGAAAAATCATATCACTTCCTAAGCTAAGTAAGCCAAGTTCTTTTTGTTTTTCTTGTGCTGTGATAACCATTCACGTGATCATCTCAGTAATCCTTGAAATCTGATCTAGTTAGAACTCATCTCCTTAGAATTCATTCCATGGTATCCTCTACAAACTGGAGATCAATAGAATGGACTATAAACAAGAAGAATATTTAAGAGAACACCCCAAACCTAGGCTAGAGAGGGAGAAAGATGAGCAGCAAGAGAATGGATTATTTTTTTCTTCTGGGCATCACTCAAATGAGATGAAGATCCTGGCAGAAATGAGTGCAAAATGGGAGCAAATCTCAACATCCAGATTAGCCAAAACAGAGGCTCCCAGAAAAAAGACAAGTCATTGCAGACAATTCTGATTAGCTAGAGGGAAGGCATGCCAGAAGAAGTAAAACCCACCAATCCTACGTATTTTCCCTATTAAACAAAAACAGATTTGAACAATACCTGTACATTTTAATTGCACTTCAAATTAATTGCACTGAGGTATGGAACACAGAAAACTGCCCCTGAACACAATGTTCCTGAGTAATTTCAAAAAAGATGTTTCAGCCTCAGGGAAAATTCAGTTATAAATTAAAACATTTTGTAACATCCAGTTGCCCAAGTAGGGGCTTATCTCTCTCTGAAGAAGGCAGAAGACAGACTGGTTTTTATTATTAAACAATATGTAAATAAAATTACTCTTTCTGTTCTGGTCACACTTTGAGATAGAAGAAGACCTATAGTCCCAGTGGGGCTCTCTGTGTGTGCTTGAACACCTGAAAATCAGCACAAGATCTCAGAACCCTCATTTCTCCACCGTAGTTTCCATCCTTCCTCAGACTTTTAAAGCAAGCTGAAGGTTTTTGGTATCTCGGAGCAGAGGCAGTGCCAGACAAGGAGCTGTAACTTTCCTCCAATCTTTTCTAAACCAAGCAGACAATGACTGCAGAGTTACCCTGGGGGCCCTTTGCTCAGCTCCTGTTTCCCTGCACACTGTGCCACGATTTCACTGCCCAGGCCAAACTGACAGCCCAGCATTGATTATTTATTGATTGTTCATATGCAGAAATGGTGGGATGAAGGCCCAGGCTCTTGAAGAGAAAGCTGCTGTGGGTGCAGCCACCATGAATCAGACATTAATTTGTACTTCAAGAGCAGTGGGTGAGACACAAAATCTGTAATGGATGACTGAACCATGAAGCCATTTGCTAACATTGGGGTCACATGGGAGAAGGCAAAGCCATTTTGATTTTAATCTACAATCTCAAAGCCAAGGCTCAGGAACCACCTCTCCACACACAGTCTGACTCAGAAGGACATCCAGAATTAAGGGCAAAATTTAGCAAATAGAATTATTTCTATTATAATAAAATTTTCTGTTATATTCTTCAAGTAGGGAGAACGAGGCAAGAATTCTGTTTTCCCCGAGGATCATTCAAACTGGGAATACTCCTCTGGCACAGGCTGCATTTTGTTCCATATGAAACACAGACTGGAACGACACGAAAGCAAAGGAGTTTTCCCCGACCTCAGCCTGAAGCAGAGCTGTGGATTTGTGCCCTCCAGACTCCAGCCTTGCCCAGGGCTGGAGCCCTGAGCTGTCACCCACTGGGATTTCCCAAGGGAAGGTGCAGCACTTGCCTTGGGAGTGCCGGGACGTGCCTGTGCAGGGCTCCTTGTTCCATGCAGCTGCTTTGATTCCCATGGCCAGGGGCTCAGGCACCGACTTCCTCGCTAACAGCCAGAGGAGCAAAGGAAAAAAGGAAAGAAACGACAGAAAACACAGGGAAAAATAAATGGAGAAAAAGACTAGGGGAAGGCTCAAAGGAAGGAAAGGAGAACGGCGATAGTGAGCTCAAGCACATGAAATAGCTGTTGATTTCCCAGCAGAAATAGTCTATGCTTTGGGGAATTCTGGTGGCACAACAAGGCGGATTTGAGATTTTTTCAGCTCTTTGGATACCTCGGAAGCAATGCTTTGAATTCAAAGGGCACAAAACCATCGCTACCATCAAAAAGCAGAAATTCCCATGAGATCGGCCATGATTTTTATTGGTTCCTAATTTGTGTAAACAGGCAAACAAATGAACAAAACAAAACAAAGAAACAAAAAACCCAAAGAAAAAGCAGCTCAAGCCGTGCAGTGATGACGTGAAGCGCAGGGTCGGGCTGTGATAGGAAATCCTTTGGGGCAGTTTGCACGTTCAGGTTAAAGCCTGGGCAAAGATGCAGCTCCAAAGAACCCTCTCCCTGCCCACTTCCAGCTGCCTCCCTCGCACAGAGAATCTGCTGTGTGCTGCTTTTCCAGCTCTAGACCATCTGTATCTGCTGTAATCCTTGCCTGTGCCGTTTATCCATTCAACGAATAACAGACACTTTCTGCCATCTAACAAAGACTTCAAATGGCTCCGTGGCGAATTGCTGACAATCGGAATTGTCCTCCCTGCCCCCGGCAGCAGCAGCAGCCCCTTTCCGAGGGGACGGGATGGAAGGAATTATTTAGCGCGTTTTACCTGGAATGAATTGCATCAAGGAGGAGAGGAAATGCAGCAGGTGAGCGAGCAGGAGGCTGGCGGCGGGCAAAAGGATTTTGGCCAACATATTCCGGCGGGCAGAAAGCATCGGCTCGGAGCGGCCGGGAGGAGGTAGCGGTGCCAGGGCAGCGAGCAGGAGGCAGTGATGGTCGGGAGAGGTGAGCGCTGCCTCTCATCATCCTTTCACAATAAGAGCCGTGCCCGCAGCGCCCTGCCCGCAGCAGCGCCGCGTCCTGCGGGCCGGGGCGGCTCCGCTGCGCCCGCCGGCCCCAAACGCTCCGCGCACCTGGGCCAGGTAAGCTGCCACTGCCCGGGCACTGCCAGGGCATTGCTGACACTGCCAGGGAATTGCTGCCACTGCCAGGGCACTGCCAGGGCATTGCAGAGACCGCCAGGGCATTGCAGAGACTGACAGGGCATTGTAGAGACTGACAGGGCATTGCCACCATTGCCATGGCATTGTAGAGACTGCCAGGGCATTGCAGAGACTGACAGGGCATTGCAAAGACCGCCAGGGCATTGCAGAGACTGACAGGGCATTGTAGAGACTGACAGGGCATTGCCACCATTGCCAGGGCATTGCATAGACTGACAGAGAATTGCAGAGACTGCCAGGGCATTGCAGAGACTGACAGAGCATTGCAGAGACTGACAGGGCATTGTAGAGACTGACAGGGCATTACCACCACTGCCAGGGCATTGCAGAGACTGCCAGGGCATTGCCACCACTGCCAGGGCATTGCAGAGACTGACAGGGCATTGCAGAGACTGACACGGCATTGCAGAGACTGACAGGGCATTGCAGAGACTGACAGGGCATTGTAGAGACTGCCAGACTATTGCTGCGACTACCAGCTTATTGCAGAGACTGCCAGGGCATTGCAGAGACTGCCAGGGCATCCCCACCGCTGCCAGGGCATTGTAGAGACTGACAGGGCATTGCAGAGACTGACAGGGCATTGCAGAGACTGACAGGGCATTGCAGAGACTGCCAGGGTATTGCTGCCGCTGGGAGAAATGCTTCAGCACTCTGTGCCAGCTGGAGAAATGGAAAGACAGGTAAGAATAGGATGAGGATCTGTGTATCAGAGCAGCCAAACTTCCAGGAAATTCCTTCAGAAATTCCCGTCATCTCGCCTTGCTGTTCGCCTCCCAGAAATAGTTCAGAGCCTGAGGAGCCATTTTGCACCGTAATGAATGTCGGGGTTTTGGGAATGTTGGTTGCCACGTCGGATTTCCCCACCAAATCCGGCAGGGATGCCAGGAGCGAGCTGCCAGCGCTTGGCATTGGGATGGCACACTGGTTTCATGCCATTCAGCAGCTGTGCTGTGAGAGGGAGCTGGGCAGCAGGCACAGCGCCCCAGGGACCCCATTCCACAGCCAGATTAAATCTCATCCGAAACCTGCTGAGAATTAAGCTGATTTCCTCCTGTCCTTCCTGCACTTCTAGAACTCCTCTCTTATTATTCCCTCCCTTGAGTTGTGCTTTCTCTCAACAAACCCAGCTGCTTCAACCTTTTCCCACAGATCATCTTTTCTCAGACCTTTATTATTTCTGGTTTCTGGAAATCTTGATTTCCACTCAAATCCTTCATGTTCTTGAGATTACTATGAATTTTTAGTGTATATTATTGATACATTTGTGACTTCTAGTTTGTTACTCTTAAAACAAAAATAAAATTATAGCCTCTAAAGTCCTTTTTCTAAATCATTTGGGATAATGTGGAATAAGCAAAGCTGGAAGCAGATCACTATACTGTACCACACAGGCTGATCTATGAGGAAAAAAAAGTGTATTAATTGACTTTTAAACTCATTTGTTTGCCCCTACTTACTCATTGCTCTTATTTTCTACATCATCATACACAATGGTACCAATGATCTTACACCAAGCTGTACCCATTTTTCCATATTAAGCCAGCTCTTCTCATAAATGAATTTTTAAAATGCATTGTTATCCAAGTCATAGTTAAGAGATTTCCTCCAGACTCTCTCCAAGATGGGATTTGGGCTGATTGAGCTATGGATCTTTGCCATCCTTTTTTTTCTGGCTCTTCCCCTCTTGGTGCCAAATGCTCACTCTGTTCTGTTCCAGTGACACCTTTGAAGACAATTCAAAGGTCAAACATTTCACCATTAGAAAAACCGAATTTTGATTAGTTCTGGACAGAATGTCCTGAGCCTAAAGCACCTCTCATACCTACTGATTTGGTCTTTTTCTATTCTGACCCACATCTATGCTAAAAGGCAGTTTCATTTTAACTAAACAGTCAAGATTAGCCTTTTCTCAGGAAAGAATTCTCATCACTGATTATCTGAACTCTCTCCATTATCTTTTATTTCCCATTTTTAGCTTTTAGATAATAGAAGAGCAATGAGAGGAACTGAGTTTTTCATCACTTACACTTTCCAGCCTGTGAAGAAATTCACAGCAAGCTCAGAAATGCAAAGGCTCAGTGTCAAGATCCCCTTGATGCCAAGAGGGTCGGAACTTTGTCTAAAATGTTTCCAGATTAAAAAAAAAAAAAAAATCCATTTATATTCTGTTACTGATCTGTCATCTTAGACGTTCTTGTTAATTTATAGGCTGGAGCTTAAACAAGGAGGGGAGAAGCTTAAAAGAAAACGTAGTTACCAGCTGAGCTTTGCTGATCAGATTTAGCAGCTTGAAAGCCAATTAATTTTCTGTCCAAACCTCCGGCAGTCAGGCTGGAAAGAAGATAGGGATGGGATGGGTGCCAGGTGGGTTTCACGAGGAGCTCACTCCTCAGGGAGAGCAGCAAGGAGAGAGTTCTGAAAGATCAGATCAGAAGAGAAAAGTTATTTTGTTTCTCCCAATAAACATTGAAATCCAGAAGAAAGGCAATCAGCAGCATGGTTTGCAGGGTGGATGAGCTGTAGTCAAATAGCAAAGTGATTCATTTTTAATTTTTAATGGTTTAGAAGGAAAATGGTGTGTAATAAGTGTGTCCATATATTAAGATACTCAGTGGAACGCTAAAGAGCAGCCAGCAGAAAAGTGCTTTGAATTTCTGACCAGCACAATAATTATGGAAAGTTCCCTTTAAACAGGGAGAGATAAATGTATGATTGATTTCCATTTTCATTTTCAATTCCCATTTCCAATGTAGGTAGTATTTCCATTACTGAAAATATTTCACAAGAGAGGCTGACTTATTTTCAATGGATGTTTTAAACTTTCTGAACTCACCATTTCAAGCCTAAACTCTATGAAATAGATATTTAGTTCATTTTACTTAGTTTATTTAAATATATATATTCTCACCTACATTTGTGCAGCAAAACCAGAAGCTTTGTTGCTATTAGTAATTTAAAAAATTTAATCATTGTAACCACGCTGTTCATAAGCTCACCTAGGTTACTGTGGCCATACTCACTGACTTTACTCCTCAAATTCTAAATTCCTCCTATTATCCCAGAGATCCCACTTTATTAAAGATTATTAATTGGAATGACAACCAATTCTATAAGAAATCCCTCTAAAAAACCAAGAGTCATCATTCTGAACATATATTTTGGATTGAACTGCACTAAGCAGACCTTCATTGTTTTAAAAAGTGGACTTTTACTCATTTTTGTTGGATTTTATGAAGTTTTTAAATAGAGCAAACTGCTGCAACAGGAACACTTGATTCCCCGTGGGAAAAACCTTATCAAATTATTATATCTCAAAATCTAAGTTCTGATGCTTAATAACAGTTGGATATACTGCCAACATAAAGCAAGTGGAGATAATCCAAATCCAGATACTCTAAAAGGGCTGCACGATTTCCCCAAGCACAAACAGCTAAAATGCAGTAACAGGCAGATGCTCCTCAGTGATTAGATTTGTGTAACTTTTCTTTATAAATAAATAACTGTGGATGAATGTCTGAGTTGAGGCCCTTGGCAGACATCATTGTGCAACTCCGGGTTGTGTCATCACTACAGATGAGCAAGGATTTTAGAAACACTCAGCACGATATTTTAGAAAATGTCACTTCCTAAATCTCTTCTTCTCCCACTTTTCTCTGTATAAACATAGAAGCGTGAAAGTATCAGGGGAAAAAATAGGAGAGTGCTAAATATGATGGCAGAGCAGTGGTGAGACTTTGGAAAGCCTTTAGATGCTAAAGATGCAGATAGGCACCTTATGGGATTTTCCAAAATTCCTAAGCGTGTAAGGCGCTTACACCATGCTTAGGCACTCTGAAAATCCTGCTAAGGACATATCTGCATCTTTAGGGATCTAAATCTCACCCTACATGTCCAGTTCCTCTCGTTCTTGGCTTTAAATCATGTCACTGTGACACGTAGCACGTTTGGCTTTGAGCTCAGGAAAGGGGGAAAGGAAGGTGGATTAGGTTTGAGAGGATTTAAAGATGAAACCACTGCACACTACTGGGGTAGAGATGGAAATGTCTCTTGTTCCAGCACTTCTCTTTATTATAAGCCCCACACTTTGTACAAGTGATCCTTTGTACATTCCATATTTCTTTTTTTTTTTAACAGAGTAAAATGACAAGAAAGAAAAAGAGCTCAGTGTTCTCAGAAAAACTGAGTATCAGCAATCAACACTCATGTGTCCAAATAACAAAATAACACTGTAATTCTAGATCGTGTTAACATTATCTATTTACTTATTGACATCAACAGCAAAGCTTTGATTATGTTTCATATCAACATGGCCTTGAAATATAACACATATTACCAGTATTATAATGCATTTGAAATTAAGACTTTATACTTTCTCAAATTTCTTTATAGAACTCTCTTATTTCTCAGCTGATCTTTTCAGCCTCTTTACATTCTGAGGCAAAATGGAAATAACATTGCAAGTATATTCTACTAAGATTTAGCAGAAAAACATTTTTTAAAGTAGAAAGGAAAAAAAAAACATAACCAGAAAATGGTTAACATGAAATAATCTGAGGTGATTTTTACTCTTACATCATAAATTTCTGTTTCATAGAAATGGTTTTTTGCTATGTTTAATGGGTCTTAAGCCCTTGAGTCACAGGATCTAAAACAGATATTCAGAATTGTTTTTATCAACTACTACTGCACTATGTACTTAAACACTAAGTAACTGCTTAAGTAGTTGGAAATTTCCTGAACCAACAGAAATATTTATACAAGAAACAGACATCACCACACTCATCACTGTTTGTTTTCATACACAAACACAACTTCGGCTCTGCATTTCTGTAACAAACTCCGTTTAGCTTTGCAGACTGTTGGCAATGACAGCAAATCTCTGTTTCAGCTTCTCCCTTTTCTGCTTTAAGTGATTTTCTATGGCTCTGGCTTCTTTTAAGATCTCATCAAGTTCCTGGACATAAGAAGAATCCAACGCTATTCTTGCACTAAAGTGAAGAAATCCGTAGTTAAAATCAATGCTAATGCCATTAAGTATCTCACTACTTTTATGTTTTTCTTAAAAACGGGTTGTCTATCAATACCCAGTTTCTGACCAAATTAATCCTCTGTTGTAATAAAAACTCTGTTGTAATAAAACCATTTTTCTTTCAAGATCAGTTTGTCAGTTTTCAGTGTTCATTTCCCTAAAACGCAGACACCCATCCGTCTTATCTAGAGAGTTTTAAAATTGCTGTGCAAATAGCACAAAATTAACTTGCCTTATAGTGTCAGCATATTTTGATAACAAGTTATTTATTTCTTTGCTGATCTCTGTTAAGAGAGAAAAAGAAAATTTTATTTAAACATTTGGATGAATCTCAACATGAAATTACCTCATTCTGTACTTCCAGTATATTTACTACATCACCATTTAAAACTTTTTCCAGTGATTCAGTCTTGAGAAGGGACTGTGAATCCTCAGAAGGAGCCAAATCTGTTTTGTCAGACAGCTCAGGATTTTCTGAAGCTTCACTCTAACAACAGAGCACATTAGGAAAAATACAGTTCTAGGATTTAAAACAAGCTTTGCACAGAGTTTAGCTGGGAGAAAGAAGAGGTTTAAAAAGACCTTGAGGGTGTTTTTGGAGAAAATGTGAGTGGGTTCACAGTTTTGTGAGTGTCTTGGGGAGTGGGTGGAAGTACCAGATTGAGACTTCTGTATATACACATTTATTTATATATACACACATATTTATATCTATATACAGACATATTTATATCTGTATAGTAGTATCTCTAGTATATATATCTCAGTAAAAGCTGGAGCACTTCAGGAGCTCACTCTCAAGAAGTTCTACATAACTATGTCCCAGTGCTTACCCAGTTTTATTGGGCTTCAAGCCCTTGGAGAAACTGCAATTTTACCCCCACAAAAAAAAGGTAATTTCTGTTCCCCTAAACCTCCCAAAAGTGCCGTGGATCTCTGTTCCTTCAATGCAGAGGACATTAGATGTTGGGGGGGGGGGGGGGGGGGGTCCTCCCTCACACAGAACCGCTTACCTCCACATTTTTGCTTTTATTTCTATTTTTATCTCCTTTTTGCGATTTGCTCGCCATGGCTGGCACACGAAAAGCACGAGATGTTCGCTGAGGCTGTCACACTGGGTGGGGATGTTTAAATAAAAACCTGTAAAACGTGCAGCTGGTTCCTTTGCAAGGGCGCTCCTCTCCCGGGAGACGCAGCGCCTCAGAGGGCTGGGGGATGGCGGGGCCGCCTACATTCGATACCCGAGGGGATTTCTCCCGTTCTGATCCCTAAATTCGATACCCGAGGGGATTTCTCCCGTTCTGATCCCTAAATTCGATACCCGAGGGGATTTATCCCTTTATGATCCCTAAATTCGATACCCGAGGGGATTTATCCCTTTCTGATCCTTAAATTCGATACCCGAGGGGATTTCTCCCTTTCTGATCTCTAAATTCAATACCCGAGGGGATTTATCCCGTTCTGATCCCTAAATTCGATACCCGAGAGGATTTCTCCCGTGCTGATCCGTAAATTCGATACCCGAGGGGATTTATCCCTTTCTGATCCCTAAATTCGATACCCGAGGGGATTGATTGATCCCTTTCTGATCCCCTCACAGCCTGAGGGCTCCAGGACGCCCCGGCCCCGCGGCTTCCCCCGCAGGCGGGCGGGCAATGGCCGCGAGGGGCCGTGAGGGACCGTGAGGGACCGTGAGGGGACGTGAGGGGCCGCGACTGTGGGGACAGGGGAAAGGGACAAGGGACGAGAAACAAGGGATGGGATACAAAGGACACAAGGGACACAAGGAATGGGACACAAGGGATGGGACACAAAGGACACAAGGGACACAAGGGATGGGACACAAGGGACACAATGGACGCAAGGGATGGGACACAAGGGACACAAGGGACAGGACACAAGGGATGGGACACAAGGGACACAAAGGACACAAGGGACACAAGGAATGGAACACAAGGGACACAAGGGATGGGACACAAGGGATGGGACACAAGGGATGGGACACAAGGGACACAATGGACGCAAGGGATGGGACACAAGGGACACAAAGGACGGGACACAAGGGACGCAAGGGACACAAGGGAGAGGACACAAGGGATGGGACACAAGGGACACAAGGGACAGGACACAAGGGACTGGACACAAAGGACACAAGGGACAGGACACAAGGGACACAAGGGACACAAGGGATGGACACAAGGGACACAAGGGATGGGACACAAGGGACACAAGGGACAATCACTCCCCTCGTGGCAGTGCCAGCCGCAGCCCGAGGTGCCCCCTCAGGGTCCGGGGAGCAGCTCTGTCCTGGGCTGTTCTAAAGTTTCAAACAGTTCCTCCAAAGCTTTCCCCATCAAATTTCACCTTCCAAGAGAAATCCCTGGAATGAGTTTCTTGGAATGTGCAATGGATCTGCCTCAAAAAACGAGCCAGAGAGCAGCGCAATCTGAGTTGGCAATTAAATAACAAGGCTAAAATGAGTGACAGCACTAAAATTAATAACAGCATGGAAATGATTAACAGCACTAAAATGAGCAAAAACACTAAAATGTATAGAAACACTAAAATGAGTAACACTAAATTGAGTAACACCGCCACAACACTCTGCTGCCAAGACTGTATCTTCTCTCTCTTTAATGGAGAATAAAACTGTATTTCCCGAGGCTGTTTTTCACTTCTCTAGGTGAACCATGTCCTTGTTCATTACACTGAAATAAATTATTGCAAGATCAGAATTTATGATCATGTTATGTTGTATTATGTGATATACATTATGATATGCTATGACATATAATTTATGGTATGTAATGGTATGCAAAGTTTGCCTCTGACCTGGGTTTTCTTTCCTTTTTTTTTTTTTTCTTTCTTTTTCTATTTTCTGTTTTGAAGAGAGGAGAGGACCTGAACCTCACATACATTATCAACAGAGAAAATTAAAATAACAGCATGAGAATTCAAACTCCTGAAAGAACAAGAACTAAATAGTTTCTCAAAGTAGAAACAACTTTTAATATCTTTAACCAAGATATTGGGAAATAACTCATTCCCAAGCTCTCTGCCCTGGTTTTTAGGGCCTGTCCCATCCCTGCAGTCCCAGCCTTTCTCCCCAAAGGCAGAGTGGGATGCGGGATATGGGATGTGGGATGTGGGATGTGGGATGCGGGATGTGGGATGTGGGATGTGGGATTTGGGGTGAGGGATGCGGGATAAGGGGTGTGGGATGTGGGGTGCAGGATGGGGGATGCTGGATGAGGGATGCGGGGTGCGGGATGTGTGATGTGGGATGTGGGATGTGGGGTGCAAGATGTGGGATGTGGGATGCTGGATGAGGGATGTGGGATTCGGGGTGAGGGGTGCGGGATGTGGGATGTGGGATGCTGGATGAGGGATGCGGGGTGCGGGATGTGGCATGCGGGATGTGGGATTCGGGGTGAGGGGTGCGGGATGCGGGATGAGGGATGCGGGATGAGGGATGTGGGATGAGGGATGTGGGATGCGGGATGCAGATGAGGAGTGCGGGATGCAGGATGCTGGATGAGGGATGCGGGATGAGGGATGCGGGATGAGGGATGTGGGATGCTGGATGAGGGATGCGGGATGAGGGATGCGGGGTGCGGGATGTGGGATGTGGGATGCGGAAATGCGGGATGCAGGATGCTGGATGAGGGATGCGGGGTGCAGGATGCGGGATGAGGGATGTGGGATGCGGGATGCAGATGAGGAGTGTGGGATGCGGGATGCTGGATGAGGGATGCGGGATGGGGGATGCGGGATGTGGGATGCTGGATGCGGGATGCGGGGTGCGGGATGCAGGAATGCAGAATGCGGGGCGTTATCCCACCCCAGGAGCCGAACTCCTCCCATGCAGCCGCTCCTGCACTCGGGGCTGGCGCGGGAGGTTCCTCCGCCCACGGCAGCATTCCTGGGCACTGCTGCCGGCAGCAGCGCGGTGATTCCATCCCATTCCCACGGGCAGCCGGCAGGGAAAGCCGGGCTGGCACGGGCGGCACCTGCCTCAGAGCGGCGAGCCGGTGCCACCGAGCGCCACAAAGCCACCCTCGGAACCCATATTTGCATAGGGCGCTGCCTCCCGCAGCGAGGAGGGGAAATGCTCCGCCAGAAATGCGGACGTAGGCGCAGAGCTTGGGAAAACTATAAATACAGCCCGTCCCGGCAGCGCTACGGCAGCTCTGGCTTCCCTCCGGCCGGGGCAGCCCCGGCGGCGGCACCGAGCCCCGGGGGCCTTGGCACGGCTCCGGTCCTGAGCCCCGCAGCTCCGCCTGCCCCGCTCCCATCGCCGGCTGCAGCTCCGGGGGAGCCGGAGAGGAGTTCTGAGGGACAGAGAGGAGTCCTGAGGGACAGAGAGGAGTCCTGAGGGACAGAGAGGAGTCCCGGGAGCCAGAAAGGACCACCGAGATCCAGAAAGGACCACCAAGAGCCAGAGAGGAGTCCCGGGAGCCAGAGAGGAGTCCTGAAGGCCAGAGAGGAGTCCTGAGAGACAGAGAGGACCACCGAGACCCAGAAAGGACTCCATAAGGAGCCAGAGAGGACCACCGAGACCCAGAAAGGACCACTGAGAGCCAGAGAGGACCACCGAGACCCAGAAAGGACCACTGAGAGCCAGAGAGGACCACCGAGACCCAGAAAGGACCACCGAGAGCTAGAAAGGACCACCGAGACCCAGAAAGGACCACTGAGACCCAGAAAGGACCACCGAGACCCAGAGAGGAGTCCCGGGAGCCAGAGAGGACCACCGAGACCCAGAAAGGACCACCGAGACCCAGAAAGGACCACTGAGAGCCAGAAAGGACCACCGAGACCCAGAAAGGAGTCCCGAGGAGCCAGAGGGACCACCGAGAGCCAGAAAGAACCACTGAGGAGCCAGAAGGGACTCCTGAGAGACAGAGAGGACCACCAAGAGCTAGAACGGACCACCGAGAGCCAGAAAGGAGTCCCGGGAGCCAGAAAGGACCACCAAGAGCCAGAAAGGACCACTGAGATCCAGAAAGGACCACCGAGAGCCAGAAAGGACCACCGAGAGCCAGAAAGGAGTCCCGGGAGCCAGAAAGGACCACCAAGAGCCAGAAAGGACCACCGAGACCCAGAGAGGAGTCGTGGGAGCCAGAGAGGAGTCCTGAGAGCCAGAAAGGACCCCCAAAGATCCACAAAGGACTCCATAAGGAGCCAGAAAGGACCACCGAGAGCCACCTCTGCTCCTGCCCGTGCACCCTGAGCTTGTCCCCACTCCCATCGTCCGTCTGCAGCTCCCGAGGAGCCAGAGAGGATTCCCGAGGAGTCAGAAAGAACTCCTGAGAGCCAGAGAGGACCACCGAGGAGCCAAAAGGGAGTTCTGAGAGCCAGAAAGGAGTCCCAAGGAGCCAGAGGGACCACCGAGAGCCAGAAAGGACCACCAAGGAGCCAGAAAGGACCACCGAGAGCCAGAGAGGAGTCCTGAGAGCCAGAAAGGACCACCGAGGAGCCAGAAAGGACCACCAAGGAGCCAGAAAGGACCACCGAGAGCCACCTCTGCTCCCGCCCTGCATCCCGGCGGCTTCTCTGGGTGAGTCATTCCAAGCTCAGAGTCAGGAACTCCTCCGAGCTTCTGCCACCATTCCTTATAAACGGCAAAAAGGCCTAAAAATGGTCCTCGGTAAAAGGTCTGAATGACCATCTTTTACTCAAGGTTGGGCTTGATGATCCTGGAGTTCTTTTCCAACTTACTTGATTCCATGACGAGGGAGGAAGCACATTTTGTGTGTAATTTTGTGTTACTCATTCAACCAAGGGACACTTTTTCCTTTAGTCCTCTGTCAAAAGTTCTGCCTCTGCTTGCCCCTGGGTTTCAGAATAACAGAGGACTGTGAGGTTAATGTGCTAAGAATGAGAAATGCAAGGTTGGGTGTTGTGGTATCTGGTTTCCAAGGTGTGCATGTGCATATTTGCAAACAAAGATGCTGCTGGGAGCCTGCTGTCTCTTCTGCACAGCTACAACTAGACAAAAAAACATATGAAATACCAAGAGAAAAAAATCACTCTAAAATACAGTCCTCAAAGAGCTTTGCTAGAGGGACAAAGAAAACCATGGCGATTCCCATCTCTGGGTGTGTGTGTTTACTGATGTTTATATTACTCACTTTTTGTATAAAAGGTCATTTTCAACTGGTGGAACAGCTTTGGAGTGAGCTGGGTATTTTCATTGCACAATCAAATCCCTGTGCAAGAGCCAGCTCTCCCCATTGTTCACCTGGTTTTAAGACATTTATTATCTTGTGTGCAAAGGATGCCTTTTCTAGGGGGAGAATGAGTTCTAACTTTTGGGTATTTTGGAAGCTCATGCTTTTCTAGAGGGAACCTGGTAAGATCAGTCTATGCAGACTTAGTTTTTATCCCTTTATGGGGTAAGAAGCATCAAGCTTACCTCTGATTCCTCTCCCTGTGCTGTGAGCAGGGTGAAGATGAGTGCTGAAGAGATTCTGGTGCGTGCAGTAGAACTTGGAAAAAATTTCTGCCTCTATTTTGACGGTAATTAGCTCATTTAATAACCTTATCTGTTTGAATAGTGATTTAACACAATTCCTTTGTCAGTCTGATTTCACCTAACTTCCCCATAAGCTTCAGTTTGTGTGTTGTTAGCCAGGTAGCTGAGTCAGGGGAACACTTGTTGCTCACACAAAAAATTCTGGGAAAGGACACTCAGAAGCATTGGAATACTGGGGGTGGACTTGGAGTGAGTAAGGAATTTCCAATATTGTGGGAAAAAGTCAGTTAGAAAACAGTTTCTTCTTTAAAAGCAATTTGTAATGAGTTCTTGTCCTTTTGCTCCCTTAAAGGCATTGATAAAACCAAAAATTTGCATGCAATTATTCCTCAGTTTTAGGCTTAGAGTGATCCTCTCACCCTTAAATAACCCTTAAAAAGTGTTTTGCATACCTCTGCTTTGGTGGTGACTCCAGTTCTCAAATGAGTGCATTTTCCTTTGTTTTGCTCACAGATAAGCCCTGTGTGTAGTGACAGCAGCTCAGCCTTGGTAGCACTGGGCTGTGGGAACATGTAGGTGGCTGCCTGGGCACAAAGTGACTTCTTTTGTGGGGCAGAGTTTAATGTTGTTTTTCTTTCCTTTTTTTCACCGCTCACTTGGAACCAAGACGACGATGGTAAGCTGAGAACTCATCTTTTATGATTTTGTTACTCATTTCACACTGAGGGTGGCTGCAAAACAAAAACCAAACCAGCTACAGCTCACTGCTACTTGTGATAATGATGTTACTTTAATTCCTCTTAAGACACAGGGTGGTGGCTTCGCTGACAGCACCTTTCAATGCGCTTTAATTGTTGGCAAAGAGAACTGATGCTTCTGAATTCTCATTAACAAACACAGCGGCTTTTCTTTCTTATATAAATAAATTTCAGATTCTGGGAAATCTGCTTCGGTGTGAAAGATGATGTGCTTGATGTCATTCTAAAAATTCCTTTTACGTGACATCTGTAATGCCAGGATTAAACTGGCAAAGCCCTGAGGCGACAGCAACGAAAAGATGCAGAATTTTGCTTTATTATCCCTGCAGAGCTGGAGTGTGATGCCCTCTGCAAGGAAAGGACTCTGCACCGGGTGCTGAGGAATGTGAACAGCCAACTGCTCGTGGTGCGCCCCGACCTGAACGTGGCTGCCTTTGAGGATGTGACAGACCAGGAGATGCAATCTGGTAATTTCCAAACACAAACCAACACTGCTGCTCTGCTGCTTCATCCTGGAGGTGGCTTTGTTCTTTGCAATCGTCCACTCAATGATGGCATTGAGAGTAATGATTTAAAATTTCATTTGCAAGAAGAAAATTTAGCTGAGAGTGAAATTTTGTGTGTTGGGCATTGGTGAGGGATGAGATTTCTGAGTCAGACCAAAGCCTGCAGGATGTCACATGCAGAAAAAGGGCTGTTAAGATTTTTGCTTGGCTCTGATCACAAAATTCTTAATTTCCCCCTTTTTCTCATGCTGGATTACAAAAAAAATAATTTTAAAATTCAAACAATGTATTGGCACGGAAAGATCTTACTTTCTTCTAATAATATTAGCTATAAACTTACAGTTTTGGCTTTGACTTTTTGGGGTGCTTCAGCAATTTATTTATTTATTTCTGGATCACCTATCTGCAGCCATGCTCTGATTTGCAGATAGCCACTTCCACATGCCAGTCTGAGTTTCTGCATGCACACAGAAGGGTCTGACCCCTCCCCACACTGCCTGGCAACCTCAGCTGCTTTGCTGCACCCTGGTTATTGCCTGATTGCATAAAACAAAAAACATAAAAGTTCAAATCCTGGCTCTTCTGTCAGGAAAGACAGCCAGGCTTGCCAGGGGAGTGGTAAAACATCACTGAATTCAGTTCCTGCAGCTCCTTGGAGCAGGTTATCAATAATAATCCGTTTATTTCCAGGCAAAGGGATGCATTTCAGCATTCACTGCTACAAAACCACCACGCCCTTGGCAGGGCTGCCCGTGGCCTTCAGTGTCCAAGTGGAAGACAAAAGTTATTACATGTGTTGTGAGAGGGAACGTGGAGAAATGATCGTGAGGTTCAAGGTAAGGATCTGCTTCCCTCTCCTCCTCAGTACAAATCCAACAGGCAGAATTAAAAACTCAAAGCTGGAATAAAACTGGTCAGGGTTTGTGCTGGGATTAACCTGCTCCCCTTTTTCCTTCCTCAGGAAGGAGAAGTTCCCAAAGAAATTCCTGGTGAAAGCAACATCATCTTTTTCAAAAAGACATTTACATCTTGCTCCTCCAAAGCATTTAAATTTGAATACTCAATGGAAAAAGGAATGTTCCTGGCCTTTGAGGAAGAAGGCTGCCTGAGAAAATTAATCCTAAAGAAACTGTCAAAAGATGAAGTGGATGAAACCATGAAGATGAGTTTATGTTAAATTCAGTCAGAATGAAAATCACAACCTATGATGGAACAATTCAACAGTTTTAAAATACAGCTTGTTTTTTTTTATAGAAAAACCTTTAGTCTGTCTTTATCCAAAACAAGTCAGTTTTAACTATTGTCAGTACTTATTAAAAAAAATAAATAAATGCAAGTTCTTGGCAGAAGGCCAAGCATGTTTTCCAGTCAGACAGAAGAAATAAGAATGTGCATGTCAATACAGTCCTGTAGATTTTAATCCCTAAAATCTTTAATGCCTGTTGACCCAAAAGCTTTTGAATTAGGTTTGGACTTTTAGATAATGAGTTTCTCACCCAGGCAGCTTGAACAGCACATCCAGCTGCATCCTGTGTGAGGAAACCTCAGACACTTTCCACCAGAGACCCTCAGCTTGCCCAGAGGGACTTACCCATGACTCACCATCTGCACGCTCCTCCTCCTGGGACAAAATAACACAGAACACAAAAATGTTGGCATTTAAACCAGACCACAGCTCCATTCTGGCCACAACACCAACAAAAACTGGCCAGCTACTTGCTTTTGCTAATAATTAAAATTTCCAATCCATGTTAAAAACAAAACAAAACAAAAAATCAGGAAGTCTTGTAGAAGCCAAACAGTGACTCGGTCATTCTGTTCATTGCAGAATCACTGATGGTAACACGAATTCTCTTCCTCATAGTGCCACAGAAGTACCATGAGCATGTGGAAAGAGCTCTCCACTCCCTGGCAATGTGAAAGTCAGACAGGATGAAGCTGAAAGTTAAAAAACACAATCTCAGTTCCCCCCTAAAAAATCCCTAATATTCCCTCAGCCTCCTCTTCGCTGTCTTTGCAGTCACACAGGACAACACAGACCAGAGTTTTCAGAAAATAAACCTCAAAAAAGTGTTGCAGATGGACATAAAACCCTTGAAAGTTGAATGTTCCTAAAGTCAATCTGCAAAAGTATTTTATTCTACGTCAATCCTTGTTGTATTTTCTAAGAGACATTAATTATCCTTGTATTAAGTCAAGTCTAAGTCACTGCTAAGTATTAATTCATACAAATATTCTTTGTTTTATGAAGTAAGGCAGAGCAGACCTAGCTACAGAGAAAGTGTATTAGGCAACCAAAAGCAGTAAGAATGGTTCAGAAGCATACACAGAATTTCTGGAAATTCTTTATTGCATGGATTAAGAAAAAAAGTATTCCCTTTTCTACATCAATTCCCAGGGTCCAAAGAGTTACAGGGTCTGCCTTACACATGATGTCAGAAGAAGCAGTTCACTTTTCCACAAGCCAAGCTTGTTTTACAGAACAGGAAATCAACCAACAGTTAGAAAAACACTCATTAAAGCTGGTATTACAAGGAGAGTTCCCTTTAGCTATGCAAACCTGATGTAATTCATTCACCCCAATTTACAGTGCAGCTTGAATCCACTCACTCCCACTGGACATTTCCCAGTTAAATCTGTATTTAAACCTGGTTTTTATTCTGTATATTCTAAACTAGCTCTGAGCCCCCTGCAGGCTCACTGGGACCCTTGGCTGTTCCTTTGTGGTGCAGGATGTTGCTCAGAAGCTGATGAAGCAGAGGCAGCAGAGGACAATCGTGTGTGTCAGGGCTGGGGCTCCTCAGAGGCTCCAGAGCATGGCCACAGCCTTGCAGATGCCCACGTCGTGGTAGTTGAAGTGGCAGAGGCCAGCGAAGGTCAGGGCAGAGAGGATGTACAGCCCCGTGTTGGCCACTTTAATGGGGACATCTCCGTGCACATAATCAGTAATGACCTGGCCCAGACCCCTAAACGAGAGAGAAAAGCTCAAATCAGCAAAGTTCACTCACTGAAATCCATCCTCTTTGTTTTCTTGTTCTACCGCTCGCTCTTCCCCCCTGCTGCCATCAGCCTTTCCTGAAGAATGCTCAGTTCCCACCCAGAAAGAGGAAGAACCGATTTCAAAAACAAAACAAAACATTTCACAGATCCTACTGAAAATACACAGATTGGCTCAGAGTTTTCTTGAGAAAAAAAAAGTGCTGACCACAGCTCTTCAAACCGAATCCTTGGAATCTGCTTTCTTATCTGACTTCCAAGGAGTGGAAAAGAGGAAAACCAAGGAAATATCTGGGACCAGCCATTGTCACAAAGGCACAGAAGACTCCTGGCTATGCATTTAGATTAGAAGAGTGGCAACCAAAGAAATTAGCACATTTGCAGTTTTTTCCACATCTGAAGTGAACTCCTGTCCAGATTTGAACTATCCAGCAACAGGAGACACAGGATGCTTGTTTTGGGAAAAAGCTCCCAGAGCAAGGGAAGTGCAAGAATCCCTGGCACGGATTCCTAAGGGCAAAACTGAGGTTTAACAAAACCTGGCACCCCCAAAGTACCATGAAAATCTGCTTTATCCTTGTAACAAGGAATTCCCAAAACAGAATCACCTCAGGAAGGTGGATGCTGCCAGCCTGGCCAGCCATGTAGATCCACTCCTAATTAGCTCTGTCCCTGATCTAATTAAGGATCACAGCAGAACTACACTGAGCAAGCATCCAGCCAGGAATAAAGGAAATAATCATCCAGGTCTCCTTAGTGGAATATTTGCTGTGAGCTCTTTATTATGCAGAACCTCATCACCACTGAGATGTACAAACCAGTGCACGGAGCTTTAGAGGCAGAATATTTTTGTATTATTTTTATACGGCTCTGTCCTCTTTCTGTTCCCTCTGTTCACACAACACTGCTTCTTCATGGGCAAAAAACATTCAGGATTCGACATCTCCAGGGGCAAGGAAGTGCTCTTAAGGTTAAGATACTACAGAGATTTTATGGATTATTTTTCTGACTGAGAGAAAGAAAGACCAAAGTACGACCACTCCAAGATCACGACTGCCACTGAACGTGGCGAGCAATGACTTTTTCCAGGTGATTTCCACTAGGCCAGGATGAGGTTTGGAGGCACCAAACCTTCTTTGCTGTGAGTGGAGCCCTGCTGTGCTTACCAGTGGCCGTGCAGGGTGAGGGCTGCAGCCAGGGAATAGTCCACGGCGGGCCCGGGGTACAGGTAGGCTGCGGGGAGCAGCCCCAGCAGCAGCACGCTGACCGCTCGCTCCCCTGTCCAGTGCAAAGACGCAGCCTTGGAAGTGCCTGCAAGGAGAAACATCCTCAGGGAAAAGCCCCTCTGCCAAGGGATGAAGGGATGGCTTTGAAATCTGGAGAGTTTGCAAGCCAAAACCTTGCATGAGCAATACCTGGAAACACAACGGGAGCATCATTCCAGGGAAACCATCAAGAACTGACTCTGTGAAATTATCAATGCAACACGCCCAAAGTGCTCAGCTAACACACAGATATCCATCCACTAAACCAAAATGCAAGTGTTTTCCTTTGTTTTGTCACGGAGAAAAGAAATTCAGAAAGTGACAAGATAAGGAAAGCAAAGGATCTGAAGTTTGGACTTGGGCAAAGTGCAAACTGAAGTGCTATTAACTGGTAACAGTGCTGCTGAAGGTGAGGGCACACACACTCCTCACAGCCTGAGGCACCACAACTGCACCATTATTTATCACAAATAACATCTCTGCACAGTTACTGCCCTATCTCACAAAGCTCAGCATTTCACAACTTTTCCCTTAAATCAACAGGCATTTAGGATTATGTTTTCCATTGCTGGCAACACCCATAACTGTACATCACCCAACAAGACACCAAGAAAACCACTGCACCATGTGCAAGTCTCTTATTTTCTCTGTTACAGCTAACACTTAAAATCTCCTAGAATGGCCAAAAAAATTATAGACTCAGCCTGGTTTGGGATGGGAAAGACCTTAAAGCTCATCTTGTTTTTAAATCCCTGTATGGCCTTCGGGTATCACCTCCCTCACCTCTGTTCCTTATCCCTGCATCACTGTTGGTCCCTTGGAGGACCCGAGCCAAAATCTGGTCCTTTACGACCCATTGTGGACAGAATCACCGAGCATTCAGAAGCTGGAACGGACTTTAGGGATCACCTAATCCCAACGCCTGCCACGGGCAGGATGCCTGGCGCTGGGCCCGGGCGCTCAGCAGCTCCTGATCCGGGAAAGCGGGATCGCACACAGAAACACAGACAGAAACACAGACAGAAACACGGACAGACGGACAGACACACACACACCCACGGGGCCGTACCGTGTCCCTGGCGGGCCGGGCCGTGGCTGTCGCGGGCCGGAGCGCAGCGGGCGGCGGCGGCACCGAGCGCGGCGGGGCGGCGGAGCAGGGCCGAGCCCAGGAGAGCTGCGGGGACAGACAGCGGGGCCGCGGCGTGAGAACCCCGCACCCCCGGGACCCCGGAATCCTGCAACCTCCGGAACCCCGCACCCCCGGGACCCCGGAGACACCGGGATCCTGCAACCCCCGGAACCCCGCAACCTCCGGGGACCCGCACCCTCTGGAACTCCGCATCCTCCGGGGTCCCGCACCCTCCGGGGTCCCGCACCCTCTGGAACCCCAGAACCTCCGGAACCCCGCAACCTCTGGAACTCCGCATCCTCCGGGGTCCCGCACCCTCCAGAACCCAGCACCCTCTGGAACCCCAGAATCTCCGGGGTCCCGCAACCTCTGGAACCCTGCACCCTCTGGAACTCCGCACCCTCCGGGGTCCCGCACCCTCCGGGATCCCGCACCCTCCGGAACCCCGCATCCTCCCGGATCCCGCATCCTCCCGGGTCCCGCAACCTCTGGAACCCTGCACCCCCCAGAACCCCGCACCCTCTGAGGGTCCCGGAGCCAGCAGGATGCTGCAACCTCCGGAACGCCGCACCCTCCGGAACCCCGCACCATCTGAGGGTCCCGCAACCTCTGGAACCCCGCACCCTCCCGGGTCCCGCACCCTCCGGGATCCCGCACCCCCCAGGTCCCCGCACCCTCCGCGGCCCCGGCCCCGCCCGACTGACCCAGGCCGGCCCCGCGGGGCCGCAGCAGCGCCAGCGCCATGTCCGCTCCAAGGGCACCGCGCCCGGACGCGGAAACGCCGAACTCCGCCCGAGCTCCGCCGCCGCCGCTTCCGCCTCCGGGGCCGAGAGAGGGACCGGGAGAGGGGCCGGAGCGGGACGGAAGCGGGACCGGGAGCTCCGGGAGCGGGGCCGGGAGCCGCCCGGAGCTGTGCAGGATGGCGTTTGGGACCGGAATCCTCCCCTGGCACAGCGGCCCCGAGCAGATGTTGTGCCTGTCCCATCCCTGGAAGCGCCCAAGGTTGGAGCAGCCTCGGGGAAGGTGTGGGGCTGACGGAACTGGAATATCTCTAAATTCCCTTCCAGCCCAAATCGCTCTGTAATTGTGTAATTCTGTCTTAAACACTGCAGCAGAGCCAGGTACAGCTCGGCTGTGTGAAACACCTTTACACACCATAAACACCTCTGTGAATGAACAACCTGGGTTTTTTTCCATTTGAAGGGAAAAAAAGGAACAGCAGTCGGGGCTTGGAGTGAAGATTTGGGGCCGTTTTGTGCTTGTCCAAGACGCAACAATCACTCCACATGTTTCCCCAGTGCAGAAACAAACAGCACAGGGACAACACTTGTGCAGATCACCTGTGTGTTCACCACTGAAACACCTTTGTACACACCATAAACACCTCCATGAACATCCCGGGTTTTTTTCCATTTGAAGGGAAAAAGGGAACAGCAATCACAGCTTGGAGTGAGGATTTGGGGCTGTTTTGTGCTTGTCCAAGACACAACAATCACTCCACACATTTCCCCAGTGCCCTGATTTCATCTCCTGCAAATGTGCAGAAACAAACAGCACAGGGAGAACACAGGCACCACCCAGACTCCCAGGCCTGTGCTCTGTCCCTGGGCTTGGCTCCAGAACAATGACAAAAGCATCAAACACATCTGGATTTATTTCTTTTATTAAAAGGCTTGGCTGTTCGCTGCAAGGAGAAGGGCCTGGTACCAGTTTCCCCAGTAACACGCTGGGCAGAGCAGAGAAGGACACAACACCCACCAGGGCCTCTCTGTCAGCACAAATGGTTTCAGCATCCCCACAGAGAAGGAAGGAAGGAAGGGAGACACAGTGCCCAGCCCACAGCAGGCTCGGGACAGGAGTTTAAACCAAGCAAATGAACTGGTGGCTTTTTTCACCATTAGAGAAGTCACTGCCCCTTCAGCTGGAATGGGAATATTCCCTCAGCTGCCCTCCGTGTCCAGCTGACCCTGTGCAAGCCCCCACAGCTCTGCTTTTGGTGGAGGATTTTTGGGAAGACAAAACTACCGTGGGGGTTACAGTGACATTTCCTCCATTACAGTTTGATTCATCAGCCTGTCCTCTCTCCTGCTGGCCATTGTTTTGGTGAGCCAAAAGAGCAATCTGTTAAAACATAATTTAAGAAAAAAACCAACCTGATCACAGCCAAGCTGGCAGGACGAGCCCACCTGTGGGCCAGGTGGGTGCTGTCCTGCAGTGCTGCCCGGCGAGCCCGAGGCTGCCCGGGCTCGGTGCTCCCTGTGGGCTGGCAGCATGTGTGTAAACCAGTGTTGGAGCAGTGCTGAGT